AATGTCAGTTCCTACAACCAGAAGTGTTTGCTTATCCACAGCTCTAGAGTGGGAGGTGGAGGGAGGGAGTGAGGGGAAAATGATGATGCCCAAATATTTCCTTTTAATGTGTCTAAGGAAAAAAAAAAAAAGCAAGTAATGCTTCATGTTGGAATGACTTTTTGTTTTGAAATTTTAAGTAGTTTGCTAAAGTCTAGAAGAAAATTCCCAAATAAAAGCTACTGAGGTCCAAGTGAATCATTCTGGAATTACTAAACTGGAGCAACTGTGTTAACCCCTTCTGAAATGTCTTTAAATGACATATTCTATTAAAAAAAAAAAGTCCCACTTCAAGCTGGAGAACAAACAACAAAATATCATAAATCCTCCCTAAAATGGGGACCGTTTTCCTCTCTGACTGTAGCCAATGACCTTGTGGCCAATGAGTTGCCCTAAGAGCAGGGGCAGATCCCTGACTAGAAGGAAGCCAGTGGCTCCATCATCCGTTAAGGACAGCTTGTGCTTGTTCCTGAAGTTTTCATCCCAGAATTAAAGAGAGGACACGCATAGGAGAAATGAGACTGCACAAACACAATGTAGGAGTAGCAGCCAACACGATGGAGCCTGGGTCAGGTCTCTTCTGCATCCAGTGAGGGCACTACAGGTCCCCTTTATAAATCACGTCCCTTTGGAGTAATGATGCTATTCTGTCCCAAGTAGAATAGTGTCAAGCAGGACCTCAAGACTGTCTCCACCCCCAGCAGCCACTTGCTTCGAGCTGGTGACTTTGCCATGACCTTGCTGGCCTCTCAGCTCCTTCTCTTCCAGGCATCGTGCGTCTCTGTGCCAGATATTAGCTTTTCAGCCTGGTTCCTCCCCCTCCGGCTCCCACTCCAGCTCCTGGCCCTCCCTGGAGACCCTTGCAGCAACCGAGCGCCACATTTTCAATTTGCACCAACTAAATGATTCATCGCTGCCTAAAGAGGCCTGAACACAGCCCAGGAGGGGAGGTGAGCTATAGCAGAGGGAAAAGAGGGGGGCGAAGATCGGGACTCGAGATACGCCGATGAAAAGCACCAGTGACCTGCTCTATATCGTCTCTCCTGGCAGGAGGCAATCAATGCCCCCCTCTCCCAGCCTCCTTTCTCCTGCAGCTGTCTGTGGGTCCGTCTGTCTCTTTCTCTCTCAGCGGAATCGGGTTTCTCCATGTAAGGTTAGGACATCGGAGCCAGGGAAATCAATTCCTGAATCCTGGCACGCTGCCCCAAGCCTGTGCAGAGAGTCCAGCTCAGCCGTGAGACGCTGGATGCAAAGCTGTCCCTAGACACCCTTGGGCTAGGTCCCAGCCCTCTCGGATAGCAGGAGACAGGGAGAAAGGCCAATATCAGCCTTGGATCCATAAATCCTAATATAACGCTGGCCATCATGGAAGAGGCAAAAAGGTAAATGCTGCAGACATCAGGAAGATATCTGGAGTTTTCACTTGTTTTGCAGCCTACTGATGTCCCTTTTGCTGGTTTCTACTGTAGGGATGTGGGGTTTGAGATCTGGGTTTCATCTGCCCCCTCTGTCCCTTGCTTGTTGCCACTGACCTATACTTTCATATGGTGCGTGCTGCCCACTTATGCACAGCAAAACATACGGTGTTCTGTGGGATGGATCCAGGATAAGATGAGATTGAAGCATATCAGAGCTATTTTTCAAATGAAAATATACTCAGGTCAGCAAGGATGAGGATGAAAGTTGCACAGGTTCATACCTAAGAACACAGCTCAGGCTTGTTGTGCCAATTCCAGATTTTGAGTCAAGTTTTTGGACAAATTAGGCTGAGTCATCTAGGTCTGATCTGAAATTAAGACTGTTATGGTATCATTTGAGGTTCACATAGTGTCTGGAGCTTCCACAACTGCAAAAGGGGTTGGAATATAGAGTAGGTTTGTTCCCTGTTCTGTTAAAGAAAGGAGAGGTGCCAATGGGGATTACTGCAACTGGATCACTGTCTCTACAGGGACAGCTTACAACAAATTGGAAAGAATATGAGAGGTGGACTCAGCGGGAGAAGACAGACATGCTGCAAAAGTTGGGTCCACCAAAATAACCATCAATCGTTGTCAAGGACACTGAGACTTAGAGTGACGGCCCCCTGCACAGCCACACTCAGTGGGAGATGGTTAGACATATCCAATGCCCCTTCCAGCCACTGTCTCTACTGAGAGCTTCTGGGCAAATGAGAACACCCTGCCATTCATAGCCAGGAGCTTGGCCAACCTGACACCTCCCTCTCCACAGCTTTGTCTGAAGTATCTCTGCAGGAGGAGATCTCCTGCATGGAGGAAACTTCAAATTCAAAGCCACCCTCAAAAAATGCTGCATAAGTATGATCAGTATGCTGCCAAATAAAGGTGGCATACTGATCTCCCAGCTCTGGGAACACCTCAGCTGAAGTACCTGGGGAGTCATTGGATAAGGCAGTATTGTAGAGCAGGAGCCCCTCAGGAACATTGGCCATAGTGGGATAAAGTCCCTTTGGGGCCATTTCTACAGGAAGTCAATGGTGTGGATACAGTTAGCTTTGCTCAACATCAGAGAGAGCCAAATGAGTATGCCAGCACAGTTGATGACTAACACTCATCTTCAGGGTTATCATACCACACCACAGTGAGATAACAGGTCATTAGGTACCCTTGAAATACGGATTGGATGTTCTGGTGTTTACAGGGACCTCAAGAGAGATTCAGTGCTGTGGTAGAAAACTGTGGTTCTTGAGACTCTTCTCTGAGTCTGGCTTTTAGTTAGGGTTGAACTATCTTAACCAATGCAAACAAGGAGGTGTTTTGCCCCAGGTGTGGCAGCAGGGTTTGTTTAAAAGCACATCAGAGAGGACACTTTCTTGGTGAAGTCAACAGAGTGTGGGTCAGGTACTTGAGGAGATCTGATAGGTCTCCACTACCTTCCCTTCCCTTTTTGTCCAAAAAACAAGGGAAGAGATGGCTGTTCTTGAGACGTCCATTTACAGCTCTACCACGTGTTATTGCAGCAGGTGAGGGGTGACGGAACCGGGTTGGGAGAAGCAGAGACAGTGACGAAGCCTGCCAGGTACTTACGTGTTGTGAAGCACACACCATCCACAGTGAGGATCCCCTGAGCCCAAGCACTCGCTGCAGGTCTCATACTGGCTACACGACTCCACAGGCACCCGGGTGAGCTGCAGGAGGAAAGGAGAGAAGCTGTCAGGCTTTTCACACAGCTCTGCAACCTTCCTAATGACTTGGTGCCACCCTTCCAACCTTCTTCCCCTGGTGCCGATTCCCCCACAGGGACATCCCTGAAGAGCAAAGAATCCTGCAAGCAATCCTGGAATCCTGCAAACAGGAATGTCTGTAACAAGCCATCTCCTTTATGTCATGCTAAGCATGCTTGAAGGCCTATAAGCAACCTGCTGCCCTGTGTGATCTTCTGCTGTAGGTGTGATTTGATGTTTCTCAGCATGCCCCTATGATCTGATTGCTGACTGCATTGCTTCCTGCACCCCCTGGAGCCAAAACCTCATAATGTCTTTGAATCTTGTTGCCTCCAGTCCCAAGAAAGCGGTGTCTCTACATCGTGTTGCCCACGTGCCTTTCAAGCTACAAGTGGTATATCCATAGAGTAGGTACTCCAAGAACAAAAGGGATGGAGATGCCAGCCCAGGACTTGAATTAGCTTGCTGTCATCCTGACTTGGCAACATTAAGATGGGCAGAAATGCCCATCTACTGCTAAAAAAAAAAAAGGCATTTTTACTATATTCCTTTATTCCTTTTTTTTTTTCTTTCTAATTAAAGCTTTCAGTCAGAGATTTCAGAAACAGAAGGGACTGCCTCGCCTGACCTCTCATCATGGACCACAGCCTTCGGAATCCTGTTAGATATTGTAAGCCCCTGACTTCTTTTGAAGCCAAACATACAATTTGGCTTCAACATATCCAAAGACCTGGTAGTCTTTTCTCATTGAATGAGCTCAGAGAGCTTCTATAATTTACTGCCAATTGACAGTGCCTTCAACTCAGCTCATGTCAGCTGGGAGAGTTTATTCCTTTAGATGATATAGTGTGGTATTATCTTGATGAAACACTACGGAGAACTGCCAGCTATAAACTGCAGAACAGTTACTAGTGACAGATGACAAGAGAATACACCTGGATCTTAGTGACAATTTTTTATTTGTTGCAACTTTCAAGAGAGTTTGAACTGCAAAGTAACAGATTAGAATCCATTCTGGTTGTGTCTGTAAATGAAACAAGAATGGTTCTTTTTTTTTTTTTATATAAATATGTGCGTGCAAAGAAAGAGGCCTAGCAAAAGGAAGGGAGGAAAAGCACAAAGAATCACAAGCAAAATTCCACAGTATTATCTTGTATCACAATTGACTTCCTAGCCCCTCTAGAGGCACCCCATAGTAGTAGATAATCTATGCAAAAACACTGAAAATCTGTATTTTACATGCCACAGTTACCTCTAGCAAATTTCAGATACAATTATGATGGGATTTGTTTATCTACTGTACCATTGCCTGTATCAAGTCTACTAGAGAAACAAACGAAACAAACCATGGCTGCTCAATGCTTAAAAGGACAAAAGAAAAGTGTAAAAAAAAAAAAAAAAAGAGAGAGAGAGAGAAAAGAAAAGAGCTGGAAACTTTTATTCAAAGAACTTTCTCAAATTAAACTGCAGACATGACCACATGACCATAGGAATTTATTCAGGGAAAACCACACAGCAGTGAAAATGAAAAGATCAAAATAAGGAGCAAATCCTGCAAAGTTCTGTAAATATCAAAAACTTCTAAAGTTAAGAAGTAGGCATAAATGCAACTGTTATACCATCCTGAGACATCAGAGCAAGAAGTTCATCAAATCTAAACTTCAATATACTTCAGGATTTCACCCACTTGGACTTACATTGAGTCCAATAGTCAGTGTTGCATTACCATCCAATTTCCATAAACATAATGCACTTTTGACATAAAGATAACAAAGAATGAACACCCTATCAATTCTTATGTTGGCCTTTTCTACCTGTTATTTCCACCTGGGAAAAAATATACATTATGAATTATTTCTCCTTGGTCACATCAGGCTTGACTATAGCTCCACTGTGAATATAACTTCCCTTGGGGTTAGGCCCTCATTTAAGGTTAGGATTAGGGTCAGGGTTATCTTAGGGTTACAGTTAGGTTTAGGGTTATGTACAAGGTTAGGGTTAGATATTTAGCACTAGGGTTGTATAGGGTTAGGGTTAGTTTTAGGGTTAGACATTCAGGGTTAGGGTTTAGGGTTAGCGTTAGATATTTAAGGTTAGGGTTAGGTTGGGTTATACATTAATGTTAGGGTTTAGAGTCAGTGTTAGGAATAGACTTTTTGCTTAGAGTTAGGTTCAAATTTAGCAGTTAGTTGTAGGGTTATGGTGAGATTTGGCTTACGGTTAAGGGTTAAGGTTAGTGTTTGGGTTAGACAGTTAGGGGTCAGGTTTGGGTTAGGTTTACTTGTTAGCAGGGTTAGGTTTACTTGTTAGCATCAGGGTTAGGGTTAGAATTAGCTTCCGACATGCCATTTAAGTTTGGGTTACTTTCACTTTACAAGTAGAAATTTGTGAACACAGCTGGAATTGGCTATGAAGTTCCTATCCCAGCTACCCTCAATTTAACATATGCTCCATTTATCCTCCTTATCTGGAGATCTACATTTTTCTGAATCTCGGGCTCTGAGCTATTTTTCATTGGCCTCACAGAAGTGAACATTGGTCAATAATTTTAGATCAGAGCATGCACTATTCTGACATTTAAAGAAAGATCTTTGGTTTTAATGGTCTAAGTCAAAATCCACATGTGGCTGTTATGTATAGGTAAGAAAGACATCCTAGAGGACTGAAAACTACAATTTCTTTGCAAATTGCTATGAAAACAACAACAACTAAAAGACACAAAGAAAATTTAATTAGCCATCAAAGGATATCTTAAATTCTTTCAGAAGCAGGAGGAACCTGCTGGGAACCAGATCCTCCTCTTTACAGATATGCTTTCTTTCCAATGTATTTAGGGTGCTCTGTTCCTATAGTATATAGTTTGCATGTTGTTTAGAGACATACCCTGTTCATGCCACTGTCCCAAAGACACACGGCTACTCAACACGAACTTGCACCAAGCTCTGTCCCATATCCTGCCAAGCTCTTTGGAGTGGTTGGCCTCCTGCGTTACCATTCACCCTGGCATGTGCTATTCCCACTATAGGAGACCTTTCACACATTCACTTCAAGTAGTTTTATTGTGAGATTAATTAAAATTGTACCATGCTGACAAATGTCTGGGGCTGTAGTGTCAGACCTTCTAATTAATAAAGGAAGAAGCCACAGAAAACAAAGGAGCTATGACTGAAAAGAAAGCCACCTAGGGGTCGTCATCTGAAAGAAACGGAACATCAAGCAAATAAGGCACATCAGAGCTCTTATTTTCCTTTGGAAAGGAAATTAATTCAGCTCCACTTTGCAAGTTGAGAGTTTGGAGAACTGTCCATGCCCCCTGGGAGCAGTCAGCTTTTCATGCTGCCCCTAAAATATCTGAAAAAGAAAAGTCCATGCAACCTTGCAATTACAGTACCTTGCCATTACTCATAGGGATGAAGGGACTAGGCAGCACTGAAGGTTGAAATCTCAATTGTAAACTAGCATGTGATTGCTCCTTGCACCCATCTTCCATCCTCAAAAGTTTACCAAATTTTTCAAGATCATTACTCAGCCTCCATGAGGCTTTAGGCTTTCCATCACTGTTTTTTTTTTTTTTTTTTTTTAATCTCATAGAACACGGACACAGCATTTTGCAGCAAATCTGAACAAAAGCTCAGGAGACAGAGGGGAAGATGTTCTCCATGTTAGAGCACTACCAGATGGGTTAGCACCATTTCTTCCTGCACAGCTCAGAGTTTAGCTGGTACCTTATCTCACCATGCTAAAGCAGAATATTGATAGAAGAAGAGATTCTTGTTGTTTTAAAGGTTTATAGCAGGGAAAAAAAAAAAAGAGATCCCCATTATACCAATGTGCTTTGAGACAGAAAACTCATCCAACACCTCATTCAACTCATCCAACTCCAAATGAGGCCTCAACCAAGTAACAACTGACACAGTTGTTACTTAGGCGCCTTTGAAAACATGGGCTTTAGATCTTTGAACAAGCTGATTTGGACAAGGCGTGCAGGAAAGAGCTGATGGTTGAACAATATCTTACTGAACACAACGTATTTAGACTCCAGGTACATGAACAGAAGGTTCCTGCATGTCCTTGTCCACATGCCTGATGAATAACTAGATGCTGATGTGTTGTGTGTGCAGCTCACAGCTACCCGGAGATGCAACCCCAGAGCCAGGGTCAAACAAGTGGCAAGTGAAGTAAATGCCCTTGTCAAGGGCATCAAGTAACTGGAGAGCTCATCCAGCTACCTTAGCTACTGTAGAACTTGAAAAACTATTCCATTTCATCAACAGGAGTGTTTAGAGATCCCTAAAGAAACAGTTTGTAAGATTCTGGCTCACAAGAGCATCCTGAAAAGTCAGAAAAAATCTCCAAACTGCTGTACAAACTGCTCACCTGCTACTTATGACTTCAGGGTTTTTATGTCAACACCAACGGTCCTCACCTCTGATCTAAACTAAATTCCAAGCTGCAGCTTGTTCAGTAGTGCAACTCCCAGCCTCATGTCCATCCTCTATTTCCAGCGTGAATGAGTTATACAAAGTCATTTAGAACAAAATGATTGAAGTTTTGGATCTGATAGACGGTAACAGCTAATCATGTTAGAAATTTGGCTCCTGCTTCTGCTGTTATATATTCACAAAAGCTCCTGCTGTATGCTCAGTCATAATTTTCTGGCTCCCATTTTTGACTTTTTTTTTTTTTAATTTCAATATACATTACTTTTTTTTTTTCTCTTAAACTGCCAACATTCTGGTAAAAACATGAATCATTGCTCAATCTCTGCTGTTATAATTGGATGTTAATACAGCAGCAGGATTTATTCAGTCTGATGGACTAAGTTAATTTAAATGTACAAAAAGGCATCTTAAGTAGTCAATTTCCTTCCCAACAGTCAAAAGATACATTTCCAAAACACTGAACAGCGACTCTGTCAAGCCATGTGGGTTCTGTGAATGCTGCTATCTTTCAAAGCTCAGCCA